TGTATACAGCAGAAGGATGGATTCTGTCTTCATATCCATTCTGTTAGCCTGTATCTTTTTATAGGCAGGGTAAGACCATTGACATTGAGGAATATTAATGTCCATTGATTGTTGGTTCTTGTTTGTTTTGGAATTTTTGTTGGTGATGTCATTGTGTGTGGATTTTGCCCTCCTTTTTCTTTTTTCTTTTTGGTAAAGTTGGATTTTCTATTGCCTATGTTTTAGTGAATGTAGTTATCTTTGTTGGGTTGGAGTTTTCCTTCCAGAACTTTCTGTAGGGCTGGATTTGTGGATATGTATTATTTAAATCTGGTTTTGACATGGAATATCTTGTTTTCTCCACCTATAGTGATTGAAAGCTTTGCTGGGTACAGTAGTCTGGGCTGCCATTCATGTTCCCTTAGTGTTTGTAGGACATCTTTCCAGGACCTTCTGGCTTTCAAAGTTTCCATTGAGAAGTCTGGTATAATTCTGGTAGATCGGCCTTTATATGTTGCTTGGCCTTTTTCCTTTGCTGCTCTTAATATTTTCTCTTTATTTTGTAAGTTTGGTGTTTTGATTATTATTTGTCTAAGGAACTTCTTTTTGTTGTCCAGTCTATTTGTTGTTCTGTAGGCTTCTTGTTCTTTCATAGGCATATCCTTCTGTAGGTTGGGGAAGTTTTCTTCTATGATTTTGTTGAATATGTTTTCTGTACCTTTGAGCTATATTTCTTCACCTTCTACCTATTTTTCTTAGGTCCGGCTTTTTCACAGTGTTCCATATTTCCTGGATATTTTGTATTAGGGATTTGTTGGACTTGAGATTTTCTTTGGACAATGACTGTATATCTAGTGATTCTTTAATAACTCTTCCATCTCTTGTATTCTATTAGTTATACTTACATCAGAGGTTCCTGATTGTTTACTCAGCCTTTCTATTTCAAGCAAACCCTCATTCTGTGTTTTCTTTATTGTTTCCATTTCAGCCTTCATGCCTTGAACTGTTTCAATAGTTTGCTTCACTTGTTTTGTTGTTTTTTTTTTCTTGGCTTTGTTTAGATTCTTTAAAAGAATTATTTATTTCTTCAATTTTTGTTTGTTTTTTCTCCTATTTCTTTAAGAGAATTTCTCATTTCCTCTTTAAGGGACTCTATAATCTTCATGAAGTAGTTTTTAAGGTTCTGCTCTTCTGTGTTGTGCTTTTCAGATCTTGCTAGTGTGGCATCCCTAGATTCTTGTGGTATCAAATTGGTTTTTCTGTTGTTGGGTGTGTTCTTATTCTGTCTTCTTCCCATGTCTTCTTCAAGTGGGTGCAGGTGGAGTCTCTCTATCTCCTTTTGTCAGCAGGTGTTATATGTAAGCTAAGACTTCAATGTCTGCAGCTCTGGATGGTCTTGCCTCTCCTGGTATTCTCCTCTCTCAGCAGAGCTCAGCAGAGGTTGGGGCAGTGGAAGGGGAAGGAAGAGTGAGGTGTTTCCAGACTCAGGGAGATCCTCCCGGTCTGGGCAGGTCCATTCTATGCCAGGTGCAGGCCCAGAGATATCCAAGGGGTGATGGTGGGAGTTGGGTGGGAGTCAGGCAGGAGCAGAGGGTACTCTTACCTCCCAGTATTTAATTTTTAATATTCTCTTTTGAGGAAAAAAAATCACTCAAGCCAAAAATTAAGTGAAATGTCATTAAACCAGAATTGGTTAAGCAAATTCTAGAAAATTACCTCATCAAGAAGCATATAGCATCTAAGCAAGAGTATACCCTAATAAGAGAGATACATTCAGGAGAGACAGCTTGTCTATGAAGATCCTGTATTTCTAACCAAATATGCATCATTGTCTTTAGCTGTGGCATGTGTATGCTAAAATATTGAAAGTGGGGTCTCTGGAAAGAGTATATCAGGTTTTGTGTGTTACTAATGGAATGAAAATTGAATTTTAAGATCTGACTGAGTGCAGGTAACAGTGGTCAGAAAAGGGAAAGTGCAGAATGTTGTAAATTTGAGGATTGTTCCTGCATATGGAGTGTTTCCCGTGACATTTGGCAGAACTACTTCACTTGCCCAAGCAGGCTGTCACCTGTTCCTCCTCCTCCCACAGCAGACTATTTTTTAGTGTGGTGTTGCTGTGGATGGAGCAGTGTGTGCAAGGCACTGAGCCACCCATGCCTGTCAAGTGTGGCGCCTTTCAACTTCGTGAATGTGAGCAAAAACGTGAGGCTTATGGGGAAAGAACAGAGCCGAATTTCAATTCTAGCTTAAACACCCATAGTCTGGGATTCTCCTGAATGTGAGTTCTTTGTGCATGGAAGGGTTTGTCATCATCTGGATCTCCTGATCCAGAGCTTCTGGTCCCAGCTGTCAGCAAACTCTCCCGGGCACCATCTTTATCACGTTTTGTAACTAGTCCTGTGCTCTGCATTCTCCATGAAAACCTGACTTAGTATTTTTATCCTTTATTCTATGCCAGCCCTCTCTTTGTGCACATACACTTTACTCTTACTTAACATTTTTTAATTTATACTTAGAATAATATACCATCTTTCCCAAAATATGAATATCTGACTTATTGTGAATGGTCTAACCATTATCTTATAATAGGTATAAATGTCATATAAAATTCAAATTCTTTAACATAAAAAGCTTTGCATAATGCACAGATATCACAGGGAGTCCTCTGTTAACTCATTTCTGCCTTTTCTCTTTCTTTTTCCTTCCTTCCTTCCTTCCTTCCTTCCTTCCTTCCTTCCTTTCTTTCTTCTTTTCTTTTTTGCTGACCTTGCTGTCATTGATACTGAGGATTGAACTCCTTGTATATGAGGACTGGGTAAGCCCTCTCTATCCCTAGTCCATGTGTCTTCATTTGATTTTCAAATAAGCTCTCTCTAAGTTGCCCAGGATATCTTGAGTTCATTTTTTAGCCAGAGGCATTTTGAAATTTATGATCCTTTTGCTTCAACCAAAGTCGTTGAGATCACAGGCTTCTCCCCACAGGCCCAAACAACTCTCCATGGTTTTTGGTCCATTTCTAAATAGATGCACATGTTGGTAACTTCTGCCTGCATCATTTCTAACAATAAATGGACCCATTTGACTTTAGATCTTCTCCGTAGCTGAAGCCTTCCCTCCCACTCTCTATATATCCCTAAAATGCAGCAAACTTCTCCAGACTTTTTCCTTTTAATTCCCCCTTCATTTCAATTTATAAATGTCACAGTCACTTCTGTGGCATGCACCAATGACTTGCAAGTTGTAATAAGGAAGATGCCTTTTTGTCCTTTACTTTCGAGATCCCTTGTCCTGTGATGTACCTGGTCCTTCCCCTTCCTGTTTCTTGTCCTATGTGGCAAGTTTTAAAGACAAAGTAATCATAATTGAATGTTTCACAAATTACAGATTTGCAGCAATTTGCCATTTATTCTTTGTTAGTATTATGTGGGGAAAAACAATTGGAAAATAAAAATCATTTTAATCTTTATTTATTTTCAACTAAGCCAAACTATGCTGTAAAAATCTCTGGGAAATACATGTGTCATTCTTTACCTAAACAGCAAAATGCATTACCCCAGAAAATCAAGCATTCAGCTACTATTTTATCCCTGTAGAAAAAAATCTAAGTGTTGTTTCAAATAACATTCATAAAAAACAATTCTCTTATAGTATGCAGCCACAGCACTTCCAATGAGGTGAAGCCCAGCTCCTACCTTGAGGTTAACTGTTTCTTCCCTGAAAGCCTGGAGCATTCTTAACCAGGGAATCACTTCAGCATCGGAGCAGTGTATCCTTGTAAATCTATATAGGATGATAACTGGGGAAAGACGTTTTTGTACCCTCGATATTTGTAAATTCAGCATACAGAGTTGTCTTTGCCAACTCAATGATCCTCATCTTTCAATGAAAAGAAACACTTTTCTACCTTTCTCATTAAATACAATATAATTTTCTTAAACAAAAGCACTATGAGACTAGGACAGTCCAATGTTAATAATGGAGAAATTGTAACAGGCAGGGAGCATAAACTGCATAGACGTGTTTGACCAAGGGGTAGTTCACCTAAGGAACAACACTGCTAATCTCACCATGCTACTCTGAATCGTACATGATTTGACTTCAGGTCAAATTCTAGTAGTATTTGAGCCACTTGCCACAAAGCTGAACTGAAGAAAGTAAATCCATATATGAGAGAAAGGTACTATATGTTTAGAGATTCTTAACTCCATTAGTGACAAAGTAAATGAAACTAAAACAGTCAGAATCAATTTAAAACTCATAATACAGAAGAACAACAATACACTAGATAGGAATTATTTTATAAAATGTGATGTGGAGCTATAAGTTTTGGAAGTCTCTCTAGAGTAACATAATTAATGACTAATGTAATAACACTTGTAAGAAACACATGCCCCAAAGAACTTCATACAGGGGTGTACTGAAGGAGATGTATAAAGATATTTGCTTCTGTGATGTATATATTGGGGGTATGGATAACATAGATGTCTGCTGCAACAGGAATGAATTTGAGAGGGTACCTAATAGCCATAATATCAGAAGTATTAATAATGGATATGTGTAAAAGATGGTTTTGTGAGAGTATTTTAGCAACAGAACAAGATTCATACTATAATTAATGGCAATTAAAATACACCTACAAAGCATTATTGCATTCTTTTCTTTTTGTTTCTTTTAAACTTTGTATTGATTCTTTGTGGATTTCACACTATCCCATCCCATCCCATTCATCTCCCTATCCCGTCACATCTGCCCTATGCCCCTATCCCCAATTCCCCCAAAACACCAAAACAAAACAAAATTTAAAAGAGAGAAAGGAAAAAAGAAAGAAAGAAAGAAAGAAAGAAAGAAAGAAAGAAAGAAAGAAAGAAAGAAAGGAGGGAGGGAGGGAGGGAGGGAGGGAGGACAGAAAAAATGAAAGAAAGAAAGAAAGAAAGAAAGAAAGAAAGAAAGAAAGAAATAAAGAAAGAAAGGAAATGTCATCATAGAAGCCATACTGTGACACAGTGAGTCACACAGTGTACATTTTATGGCATACATCTTTATTTACAACGAGTCATTGCTGTGGTTTGTGGCCTCTGGTTTCTTCTATACTGTTGATACTGGGCACTCACTTGGACTCCTCTTGGATATCCTGCTGTTGCTGCGTCATGGAGATCCTGCAGCTTTGTGTCTGCAGTTCTGTCTCCTTCACATGCTCCAGATGATCATGGATGGTGTAAATGTTGGGGTAGGCCAACTAAAAGCCCTGGTTCTGGGCCTGGATGGTGGCGGTGTTGGTCATCCCACCTCTTCTCCCTCATCCTCATCACCAGGGTGAGCTGTCCAACACTGCCCCAGCTGTCTCACCCTATGCAGAAAGCAGCAAGGGGTAAGGCCAGTCCTCTTGTTTTCACACCCTTGGGGTGCCTCACCCCCATCTACACCACCACAGTCTGTACTATATGGCCCAGACAGGGTGCAAGGACCACTTTCCTGTGTGCTGCGTCTGATAAGGGAAAGATCCAGCTCTCTACCAAAGGTGGCCAGGGACACTGGAAGGGAGGGAATCTTTTCTTCATCAATGCCACCTTCTGGCAAATAAGGAGGAGTAGGGTCACTTTTTCCACTCTCATACCCTCAGGGCCAGCTCACCCATGACCCCACCAGCAGGGTCAGCTCTACTGTGCTGCCCAGGAATGATGCACATCCTGGCTGGTGAGGGTCAAAACCAGTTCTCCCACTCTCATGACTTCAGCACCAGCTCTCATGCATGATAAAGATGGCAAGGGGTGAGAAGCAAGTGGAAAACATTCCTTCCTTGACCATGGAACCATATGGTAGATGAGGGGTAGCGCCAGGTCTCCTCTCCTCACGTCCTTGGGCCAGCTCACCCTCATCTCCATCAACAGGGTCAGCTCTACTGTGCTGCCCTGGCAAGCTGTGGACCCTGCTCTCCAAGCGCAATAGTTGTTGAGGAGCAGGGTCAGCTCTCCCACCTGCTGCATGTGATAAGAGACTTTTGCTTTGATCTTAACACCAGACATTGGATTTTACCAATAAAGACCTGGGAACCACATGCTGGGGTGAAAAGCTGCTAGCACAGAGGGACAGAGAATGCACACAGCTGACCTTCCTCCTCCACAGATGTCCCAGAAAGAGACTTTCCCCTATGCCATCTCAAACAGTATTCGAATTGAATGTCCCTCCCTTGTACTTACTGTGTGTCTCTATCCATTCTCCTGACTCTCTCTTAGTCTCCATGGTTTCTTTTTGTCAACTGGTTGCTTGCTCCACCCCCTAACCCATGGCTGACTTTAGTTAACCCTGCTTACAATACTCAAGCAGAAAGCTTTAGGATTAAGGGTATGTTCTAGGGCTGAGCCAAATCATAACTAAAAACAGGTTTTCCTGTAAAAAAAAAATGCAGTCTCATGGTTCACAGTGTGATAAAATGTCCTTCAATAAGGGGCTAGGGGACAATACATAATTTTCAATATAAAAAGCTTTGTCAAACGCATTACAGTAAGTCACCATTGCTGAGAAAACACCAGAGAGGCAATGGGAAGAGGGCACCATAATATAAAACAAGAAAGTAGTTAGTGCAGAAGAATAGCCATTGGCCTTTACAAACTGAAGAGCAGAATTTAAACCCCAACTCTCCTCTTGGTGAAGAGGCATCAAAAGTTTCTATACCTCTAATTCTGCAAGAACTGTACCAACAAGGGAATGGCACTTTGAATCTAATGATGGACACTGAAGTAGATCAAATGAGAACATGTTGAAGTTGACCTCTAGAAATGCACATGTGCAATACAGAGTAGCAGCAGGTCCTACAACAGGGACTCCAGGAGCTTTGCAAGATTCGTTAGAGGCAAATGCGGTAGAGATTTGGTCCTATCTTTAAACAAAGCTACTACTTATATATGGTGCTTACCATGTAAAATTTATTTAGCACAAAAATCCACCATCAAAAAATCATATTCATCTTATTGTAGTCCATTATAAATGACCTTGAAATGTAATTTAATTCAACACTCTGCTCTTGAATTATTTATGAAGGTTTTACTGAATATAGAAGCTGGCCGAAGGAAAGTTTCACTTTTTTTCTTTTTGCATTAAGAAAGTAATGGCAGGGTTTGACTAGCTTAGGCCAAGTGTTTCATGAGGAAGAAGCCTGGGACTCTGGGCATCCTGAATCCAGAAGAGAGGTGTTCTGGTCATCTGGCCCATACACCACCAATACTAGCACCAGAACACAGGATCCTGAACATCCCATGTCACTGTTGTCAGTTAATTGCTTCTTTATGTGAAACTCTTTAGAAACCTAAATAGTGCTCATACAATTACATAGCACAGTGTTGGCATCAGTTAAACTAGAGTTAATTATTTGTCACTTACTTCCCTTGATACATTTAGCAATCAAGGGAAAAGGCATTATCAATATGTATTTAAAATGATGCGATGGAAATTTGGTGACTTCCATCTCCAAACCTGATAGATAACTTTGGCATCCAAATATATTAATATTAAAATGTTACTAATAGAATAGCACATGTTACTAATAGAATAGTACTTACTGCTGTTGCACAGGGCATGAGTATGTATCACTCACATGGTAGCTCACACTCATCTTTCCTTCCAATTCCAGAAGATACAAGGTCTCCTCAGGCACCAGAAACACAGGTGTGGTGTTACAATAAATATTTCTGCCAAAAGCTGTCTGAGCCCCACCGCCATGTGTGTGCTTTATGCCAGCCGCCTGACCGAGTTAGGCTCAAATGAATACACAGAAACTTGTATTAGGTTCAATACTGCTTGGCCAATGACTAGGATTCTCATCTGTTAGCTCAGTCTCAATTATCATACATCTATATATTTTATAAGACTTATCTTTTAAATATGAGTCTCCTTGCTATGTCACTTCCTTCCTGGATCAGCACTTCTCTACTACATTTCCCAGAATCCTCTTTGACTCCTAGTCCTGTCTACTTGTTGTCTCATTGGCCAAACAGTATTTTATTTAACAATCAATAAGATAAACATACACAGTACATTTCCCATCAGTGTGGGACATATACAAATGCAGGCAAGCACTTATATACATAATGTAAAAATAAAGGAATCTTTAAAATAGCTAATATGATATTATATAATTTACAAGCCTGCCCCTCCTCCTGAAAAGAAGAAAAGTGAGTGATGAGCCAGTGCCTGAGATGGAAAACAAAAAAGTCTTTGGTTTATAATCTGCTTTGCATATAGAAGAGTTTCAGAAGATAACTGATTTCAGTATGCTAGAGGTGACCCTGCTGAACAAATGAAAGCAACCCCTTGCATGGGTGAAGGCTTGGATATAAGCTAATCAGGATTTTGGTCTGCTAGGGGCCTGATGTCACTGCTGCCTGCCATTCATGGTGGGACAATGGCCCAACTCTTCTGAGGGTACATCCCCTTGGGACATGGGAAGTATTACACATGTATCAGTTACTAACCGTGCTGCTTGTGATCAGAGTGCAGCCTGTGTCAGGTGCTGGGCCTTTTATTCAAAGGATGTAAATAACAACTCTCGTGTATTTGCAAAAGGGTAGAGTAACTTTATTCAAAAAAGAATGAGATTATAGGTTATAAATACACTGCCATGATTCATAGTGGACCATATGAGTGAGAGTAATGGAGATCTGATTATTGCCCACTGCTTCCTCTTAGGGGATTCAAGAGGAGTTGGCTGTTAAGGGGTCTTGGGACAGTACAAGTTAAAAGAAGGTTCTGATGAAGTCATGAAATTTCTCAACTGTGTATACCACCCTGTCTATTTGGAAATGTAAATTAAAGGCCCTTAACAAAAAGGGTTAGTTTCACATTTAAAAGATCATTAGAATTGTCCATTATGTATGAGTTAGAAAAATCATTAGCTTGTAAAAATTAGGTTTCATTATAGGATTTTTCAATAAAAATCTTGCTTTGCTGTTTTTCACCCCTGCTTCTTCTCCATCGTCCCTGCCTTGCTTCCCTACTCCCTATCCCAGTAGCCTCTTTTCCATAATTCAGGCCCCAAGTTCCTTCTAACTTCCATCACCTCCCTCTCTTAATACTTTTTATTCTCCTTCTAGTCTCTTCTCTAGTTTCAAAGTCTGTGCACCTTGTCTATATACACACATACATTGAAATGAGGATCTACACTTGAAAGAACATATTATTTTGTCTTCTTAACTCCTAAGATATCACTCCTTCGCTTGATATAATACATTAAACTCTGTTCAGTTTCTTACGATTTCATAACTGTTGTGAGACAATCTTTTTGTATACTGTGAAGATCTGTGTTTGCCAAGGAACCTTCTGCTTGGTTTAATAAAAGCTAAATGGCCAATGGCTAGGCAGGAAGAGGACTGGTGGGACTTCCTGGCAGAGACAGAAACTCAGGAAAAATCCAGGTGCATGAAAGATGCCAGGGAGACATGGAGAGAATTGGACATACAGAATAGAAGAGGTAAAAAGCCCCATGGAAACATAGATTAGTGGAAACAGATTAATTAAGTTATAAGAGCTAGTTGGGAACAAGCCTAAGCTAAAGGCCAAGCTTCCATAATTAAGGAAGAGTCTCCCTGTCATTATTTTGGGGCTGCTGGTCCCAAGAAGAACTCTGACCAAACATACCTTCATTATTCTCATCATCAGAGTATGATTCTCTTGTGTACATATGCTCTGTCTTAAATATTCCTGTCTTCTCCAACAACTTTTCAGGATAACTTTACCTACTATAACACTTTAAGTTTGTTGTCATTTACTTTTAGGAACTTGATATATGCAATTCAATTTTTTGTCTGGCTTTTTGGATTGTTAGTGAAAGATATGAATTTATTCTGTGATTCCTGCCTTTGTGTATGGCTATCAGTTTTTCTCCTACAGAATTAAATAATGATTTCTCACTTTATATAGTTGACACTTTGAGTATGGTGTGGTTTGTAAAGTTTATCTTTGATTTTGTGTAGTTGGTGTCCTAAATGCTTCTTGTGTTTGAATATCAATTTCTCATGGTTTAGAGAAAATATTAAATTTTTATTAAATAATTTCTCTTTTCCATTTAAATTTTCTTAGCTCCTTCTTTTACTCCATAGACTCTGAGCTATCATAATTATTCAAGATTTCTTGGGAATATTGGTCATCTCCTTGAATTTGTTTGATTAAATGTGTGCATGTATTTTGTCTGGACTCTGTCATCCAGCACTCAAGTTCATTGTTTTGTATGACCACCACTAAGGTAATGACAAGCATTACATCCAATTCTGCCTCATGTTATTGGTCTCTTTAAATCTGCTGAGTAATAAACCCCGTAGGGCAATAAATACTACTTTTCTACAATTATTTTCTTGAAGAATGATAAACCATCAACATTTTATAAAATATAGTAAGTGTTACAATCAGATATTCTGCATAATGTTTTAAGATGCTTCTTGTATAAACAGAATTTTGGAAGTGAAATTATTGGTCCATGGTTATGGAGATCTACCATCTATCTATATGTTATCTATCTCATTGTCATTCATTTGTGTTTTCATAAAATATATAATCAATCTATCATCTTTTATTCATATCTTTATCATCTTTCAGTATCCATCTTCTATCATTTATCTACCATAAATATATTTATAATCATATATACCACCTACCTATCATCATCTATGAATATCTACCTATCATTTATCTATCATCAATTGTCTATCATCATTTATGCATCATCTATCAATGTCTCTCAGGATCAATATCTCTGCAGAATCATTGTACAGTTGTACCTGGAATATATCTTAAATGATTTCATCCACAATGTCTTTGAGATTTCTTAATTTCTATGTAGTAAAACCACACTGAAAGAAAAGACCTTGATTCATTCACTCATGTTTCTACATATATGACCTATAAGTACATATTCAATGAATAGTAATTGAAAAAGAACTCAAAATATTCTCATATGAACTATAATATGTAATATCAGTTACATTAGTCAAATTTGAATTTATTTTAGCAATTCATTAAATTGATCTAAATTTCAAGATTATAGCATTTACTATATGATTCAAATATTATTTTACAGATACCTAAACATCTAATAAAATGGTATTATTAGACAGTTTTCCCACTCTCCTTTCCTCCCAGTCCCTCCTCCCACCTGCCTTCCATCTAGTCCTCCTCCATTTTTATTCATAAAAGGGCAGAGCTCCTGTAGATGTCAAAGCATGGCGTATTAAGTTGCAGTAAGACTAAGCCCTTCCTAACCCTAACCCTGCGGTAGTTTGAATTGGCCTCCACAACCTCATAGGGAGTAGCACTATTAGGAGGTGTGGCTTTGTAATAATTTTGGCCTTGTTGGAGTAAGTGTGTCACTGTGGGGGTGTTTCTTGAGGTGTCCTATGCTCAGGATGCCACCTAGTGTCTCAGCCAACTTTCTGTTGTCTGCAAGATGTAGGACTCTCAGCTACTCCTAAAGCACCATGTCAGAATGCACACCACCATGCTCCCTGCCATGACGATAATGATAACGGACTGAACCTCTGAAACTGTAAGTGAGCCACCTTAATTGAATATTTTCATTTATAAGATTGCCATAGTCATGGCATCTCTTCACAGAAAAAAAAATCCTAAGACAACAACCGCTGTTGCTATTTAAAAACACCTAGAAGAGAAGTCATGTCATCCCACAGTACTCACGTAGGAGGTTTATTGGAAGAGGAGAGAGAAGGGGCTGAAGAGGCACAGAGAGAGGGGCAGAGACCAGTCCCCGAGGACAAGAGTTGTGGAAGAGAAAGAGAGAGACACAGAAAAGAAGAGAGTGATAGAGAGAGAAAAAGAGAAAGAAAAATGGAAGGTGGGCAAGGCCCTTTTAAAAGGGACATGGTGAATGTGCACAGGAGGTGCTCTTAGTGTCTGCAGCTGAGGATGTCAGAACCCCAAGGGCAGGCCAGTACAGATGCCTGAATACTAACAACCACAGCATATTTGCAGACGGTCTAGTTCAGTCCCATGTAGAATCTTTGGTTGTCAGTTTAGTCTCTGTGAGCCCCTAAGCGCTCAAGTGAGTCAATTCTGTGGGTTTTCCTGTGATGTTCTTGGCCCATCCTACTCCTTCACTTTTGCAGGATTCCCCAAGCTTGGCTCTGAGTCTCTGCATCTGTTCCCACCACTTGTTGCGGGAAGCCTCTCTGATGACACTTGAACTAGGCACCAATCTATGAGTATAGCAGACTATCTTTAAGTACCATTGACTTCTTTTTCTTTAGTGGTATTTGTGCCTATGGTCATGTCAGAAGAGCAGCAGAGTGGTAAATGACTTAAGGGAATCAGCCCACCAGTATGCAAGGCAATGACGGGTGAATCTTGGATAAGCAAGGCCTTGAAGGCCTTTGCCCCAGAATGTCTCTTGTTACTGCTGTGCCATTACATGTTTGCTGCTGCCATTTCCTCCTGATATCTGGCACGGTGTGAATGATGTGGAACGATCCCCACTGCCTTTACTATAGCGTGATTATCTCATGGAAATGTCCTATTCTACGGGGCATTTTTACCTGTGGATTATTATGAAGATGATTTCCTCCTAAGCTGTAAACTTTAACTGAAGTAATGATTTTAAACAATAATAGTGTTGGTTTAAATAGGATTTTAATGATTGAGGGTCTTCAATAAATATAAGGGATTATAATAGAGGTTATCTTTTTTTTAAGATTTTATTTATTTATAATGTATACAGTCTTCTGCCTGAAT